TTACAACTGGACCATCCCAGGAAAATCTTCGTCACTACCCTCTGGTGCCTGATGTAATTTGCAAGTAAAGTGGTGCATCCAATTGTATCGGCTGCATCAAGATGATGCAGAAACTTTTGACTTACCTTGACTACTCAAAAGTCGGTGCTGGTTAAAAGCGGAATGGCATATCTATGTCTAGCGGACGATGGCCATTCAAAAGGGCTTATGATCTTTAACAGGTCAGGGTCATTTGTTGCGCGAGTTAGCTAAACTTCCCACGAACTAGGTTTCAGAGGTGTCACTGAGAGGCGTGGGCGGCAGTCCGTGAAAAGTTACAGTGGCTAAAGTTTTCTTTTATGCAAAATTTACATGCAGGCACAGCTGCCTGTCACCTTGATTAGCAGTGGCTGGATGCATCCAGGTACAACCTACCTCCCAATTACTAACACGAGTGAAAAGACACGGCTGTTTTTACCATTTTGTAGGGATAAGTATCGCAGTAACATCCAGTTTTATGAGGAGTGCTGGGGATAAAATAGTCTCAACTTGACTTGCCGACCTTCAAATGTCCAGACGGTTGACCACTTTGATTGTGTCGCCCCCTTTGTTCTCTACCTCAGACTTGGCTCCAGTCTCCTACGAGATAGTTAATGCTAATAGTTAAATAGTTGATGAGCGCTCCAAGACTTCCCTGGAGATGACGGAAGACATAAAACTGGGGCAGATTGTGGATTGTTGACGTGCAGTAGGGCTTGAAATCTACTGTCATGGTCCGAAGGCTAGGTTGCCAGGCGCATGTACAATGGCGGAGCCCATTCAGTGGCTCGTTACCAAAATCGAGAGTTAAACAACTGTGAGATCTACAAACCTCGAAACCCTCCAGGTAAATGCATTAAAGAAATCCCCTTAAAAGAGTCAACTGCGCACATCAACGCCGAGGGCGAATTAATTTGCAAGCCTTCCATGTAATTCCAGTTACAAAGAAGATAAATGAAGAAACCAGTAAGGAAGTTCATTAAAAAATTGCAAAGTTTGTGGCTAATTGTCTAATGGTGTCGCGTTTAATGCGTCTTGGTGCCCCGAAAACGGCTGCGAGAAGGCGGGGACGAGACAGGAACACCACGCGGCTTGAGAGAGGTCCACAGGGGAGTAAATTAAATCAACTTCATTACATCTCAAATTTGTGTCCAAACGTGCTCAAAATTTTATCTGAGGCAATGAAAAAGTCTAACGATGCTTTTTTGTTCTTGCCACTTGATCGTGCCAATTTTCAGACAATCACAAAATCCACAGATTGTGGGCAAATTTGAGGCTTTTTTGTCTCCTCAACAAAGAACAGAGTACAAATTTAGAAATGTTTTATGCACAAAATGAATATGGAGAGGGTAATGCTGACTGACGCGATGACACAGATTTGCATTTGACATTTGCCAATTTTTGAGCGCACTTCACTCCACTTCGCCTCACTTCACCTCACTTCGGACTTTCGTCTTAAAACGCCAGGCAAGAGCTCCTCATTCTGACATCTTATCATAGTGTTGACAACTTTAACCAGAAAAAAATCTAGTTAAAAAATAAGAACAAATATTACTAATTAGTGACAGGAAGAATAGTCAGGATTTGGGCAAAGAATTTTCATTGTTCCCCCCCTCCTCATCCCCAGTTTGAGACCCGCCGAGTCGGGAAGAGTATCTAGAGAAGGCCAATTCATACTGCACAATGTTGGGATTTGACAATTAATCAGTCTTATAGGAAAAATTCGGAGCTTATCACCTCCGCCTTCGCCTTCTAGTCGTCATCGGAGGCCGATGACGTCTCCATTGTCACGAGGTTGCTCCGATCAGTCTACTTGCCACATGAAAGCTCATTTCAAAATCGCCCTTCAATTACTTCCGAGGTAATATTTTACAGTCAGGCGGCCTGTGAGAATCAAAAGGATGTCATGAAATATCCCGTTGTTATCTGGTTGAACAAATAATAGTTTCATGGACGACTTTCAAAGCAAATTTTACTCACCGCGAGTAAAATTGAAGTGTCTGAGTTATTAACTCTGGTAGTTGATTTCTCAGACGCTGAAAAATGAACATTTTATTGCTTTTGGCGTGGCCTGACATTTCGATACAATAGTCAGTGGAAAGCGGAGGAAAGATCTCAACTTGTCCACCTTTTGTAAAGCAGAGACTCAGTGAATCCACTAAATGGCATTTGTACTACTCATTTCTGCAAATCGGTACGTTGAGATCTTTCATATAACCTTATTGCATTTTTCTTCTCCTGAGCGAATTTAACTCGGCTTAAGCTACGTTATCAAATAGTCTCATTCACGAGAGATGGGACAGATGTCAACGTGAAGTTGGCATCTACCCCTTCCCTTCTTCACGTCAAGTAGTGAAGAGCACCGGTTTTAGAGAAGTCATGGACCGACTGACTTAGTGACTGACTGTCATGTGGTGAGGATGAATTCAACAGGTTCACTGGCTATTAAAAGCGTGTGTTTTGTGGATTGGAAATGAGCATGTTTAATTTTGAAAGCTAAACAGTCACAAATAGGACTGGAAGATGTCCAAGAGGAGGCAGTCACTTGAAGCAAGAGAAGACTTAATACCGCAGTTGAGGAGTGCAGAGAGCGTGGGGAGGGTGCACCACCTCATCGTTATTCCTCCCCTCCATCCTTATCCCTTCAAGCACAAAATCCCAACTTTTCACGAGCATTGAGGAAGTAGCCTGAGATAAAAATGCCGCAGCCAAGGCTGGGGTAGCTGGATGGGGTGAAATTCGCAGCCACCGGTTGTCTCAACTAACCAGTTCGGTTACTTTTTGAACTGATTTAAATTAGAATAACAAAGTAGACGTAGACTGTTAGGGATTTGAGGGTATTTTGTGCACCCGACATATTCTACCATGCTTCGACCACGTTCATTACATCAGCTTATCCAAAAAGTATCAAAAATTATTAGAGGAGCGTGGCAATTAGGTTAATTTCCGGTGTCATGAAGTGCACCGGTTTGACAAGCGCTCTTTTTTCCATGAAGTTATTAGCTTTTATTTTAAGACAAAAGGGGTAAAACAGTCATTTTATCTTATTTCTTTGGCTGAGACAAGTTTTTTAGCAATAAGAAAATTGTGTTCGGTGCGTTGATTTTGATTTCGGTGGGACCTACTCCCTGTGAACTTAATCGGTAATGAAGTGATCAAATTCGGACATACTCCTACCCCAAAAAAGAACTTTAAATCTACTCCGAAGCAACTGCTTCCTATGGGCAAGATTTTTGCGTTTGAGTCTGTTAAATTTGTTTAGATTTCGGGAGAATATCTGCTTGAGGCAAAATTTTGTTTTAACTTCGCAAATGAGGACTCAGAAGTCACTATTTTCCCAAAATCCGGTTGACCCTACTTGTCGAGAGTTTGCTTTCGCTCTGAGTGCGCCACCACGGTAGTTCCATTTGCAAAACCCCCTATCAGAAGTAGAAGTGAACTAGTGTGCCTCCTAGACGGTACAAGACGTCATCAACACCTCTACTTATTTAAAATAACAAGGTTCTTCCCCAACTTCACTCCAAGCTTCATCGGCTTCACGATTCCGTGGTAGAATGCCCTGAGACAATTCACCATCGCAGCATTCTGGATGCTGTTTCTCGTGACTCAGTTTGTGTTCTCTCAGTTACTTGTCCCCTTCTCACCAGTCTACACAAGTCATCATGTCTATCAAAGCACATATGCAGGTCTGCCGATATATTCCATCCCAATCACTGCCATTGTCAAAGCACACGCCATAGGCACTTCATCGGGAATAAGCAGCACTCGCATAGCACCACGACTGATAGTGCCGCTGCAAACTAAATCAAAGACGCAGATGAGTGCAAGCATTTCTCTCCCCCTTCCCCCTCTTCACAAGCAATGAAGCGTTTTTACCATCGTAATGGAGATTATAGCATTGATGAAGGAGAGAAAGAAGAGAGAGGGTCCAGAGAAAAGACGAAGGAGAATGAGAAGTCAAAGGAGTAGGTGAAGGAGGAGGGGAGGAGGACAACATCGAGACGATAACAACTTTGCCCGAAAGGACAGAAGTAGTGTCAGGTGTGCCAGCGGGGTGGAAGTAGTAGTTGAGGTGGTGGACGCATTTAATCAGATAAGTGTGCTGCCACGAACCTGACCATGAGTTCAACCGGCTATCCACCACTTCGAGCGTGTGCGCCTCCGATAATCCCACCCACCTGTCATCCAACTTTTTGAAGTTGGCCACTTAAAAGTACTACCCATCTTATTCTTTCTTTTTTTCTTCTCTCGACGACTCTTAGGCTAGTTCTGCCTAAGAATACACCACTAACTCCTTACCTAAGTGACTGTCTTTAGAAAATTTCCACTTCAGGGCACTGTTGAGACCGCTCTCTCCTCTTTATAAGCACCAGTTGGTTAATTAGGCTTTTCAAAATAGTTTTTGTTGCAATTTCAAAGTTTTCTTTTCATATTACATGTTACATGACTTGTTTCAAAAAATGGTCTTATTTTGCTGGTCAAATCGACAAGCTGTGATGCCCATCTATCAGAAGGTAGTAACACCTATGCGTCCACACTCTAGGCAATCTAACTTCCGGTGGATGATTCACTAGACCAACATAAATTCGTCTGCTAAAGCTACGCCAGAAAACCCGCCTTTAAAGGGCATTTTTTGCCCATCTATGAAGGTCTTAGTGTGCTTGATACATATAAATAGCAGTGGAAAGAATTTAATACGCTCCAAAGTTGGCATTTCCTTGGCAAATAGTGCAGAAAAGCTTACCTGCCTCCAGTTAGACGTCATGCGCTCCCCTTCATCCATCACGCCAAGACATCAACACCTCTGAGGAAAAAGAATGCCATCTATCCAATGGATAAGCGGTCCTAAAATTCTACGATTTTGATTATGCACCACAGATGGAAAGGACTGTGTCCATCCGTGTATTCTTGATGCTGGGTGCTGTAAGGAAAAACTAATTTGTTATTCACTACAATGCAAAATAAAAATTGAGGGAGAATGAATTACTTAGAGCAAGTTGTGCGTCGCCAGGACGTTTTAGTCTAATTTTGCCTTTCCAATATCTGTCTTTTACGGATTGTCCATTTTGCACCAGTGAGGGACAATTTGCAGAGATCTGGACCTGGAGATAGCACCTGGAAATTTACAGGGTTACAAATTTGAGAGTTAAGTAGAAGTTAGGCTGCGCCGGGAAAATTCGCATTTCTACTCACTCCTTTTTGCAAAAAAAAGGAGTAGAGGTTCCAAGATGTGTGTAAAGCGATACACATTTGGTCTTTCAAGGTAATTTTGACGGATTAGTGGAATAGCCGACTTACTTTCTCGTCATATGATAATCTCACTGCCTTTATTTCATCCATTGAATTATTTACTTTACGGTCTGCTGTCATTTTGTAAAAAAAATTTTGCGTATTCTTTGCTGCTTCTTTGAGGTCGCATACACCACGCTGCCAGTGAAGACCGAACTGTCTATGCTCAGAAAGAGCTAGATGGATAATGTAAGGTGGCACAATCATATTTGTGTCAAAAACTTCTCATCGTAGAGCAAATATCAGGAAGAAAAAGGAGTAACGGAGGAGTAAGAGGTTTTTACCGCCAAGTTGGATTGGGAACTTGCGAAGCGCCATCAACGCCACTGGGCAAAGCCAATGGGGACGCGACGACAAAATTAATGTTACTTCTACTAGCAAAAGGAATTTTGCTCTAAAATAAGGCAGAACTAACACTTTGAAACCAATTTTATAGTGCAAGAAGGTTCATAGGTTTAGTATTATTTCACGTGTAACGCCGAATATAAGCGCGGATTTCCGGACTGGCTTAGCAGCTGGACTACAAAGCAATCTTTTGCCAAACAAACCAAAATAATTTAAGTTTAAAGGTAAAGTGAGAAGTACATGTACCATTTATGGAAAAAGAATGTTTAAAATGCTCCTAATGTCTTAAAAATAGGTGTTTGACACATACTAAGTTGAACGCTTTTGAACAATGCATATATGTATACATATATACTTAATATTGGCATTTAGGATTGCAGCATTGATCTTAGGAAACTTACGGTATGTTTGTTTATATGAACTACTAACTGACTTTCCTTATTTACATGTAAATTAACGCTCGATTAGTCGTTGACTGATTTTACTAGACATTGGGGCTTGTGATTGAAGTCGCTAAAGTATTTTTCACTTTTGAGGTTAAGTACGGTTTCCTGAAGGCTTGAGCTGTTGCTAGAAGGTTATGGGCAGTCTAAAAGTGCGCAACGTCTGGGCAGGGAGAGGATGGAGATTTGATGCGATCCCATTCTCGCGCACTTACGGTCTTTTTATAGGCTGCAAGTGGTTAGTAGCGCTTTTAAACTCTGTCTGTTCATAATAACAGTACCAGACTCGAAACTTTCTGAAATTTTTGGGAGTTAGACGTGAGAATGAGAACGCCCAGACGATCGAAGTGGAAGTATTTTCTGCGATTACAAGCCTCTTTAGCAGTCTACGAATGTTATAAAACTGATAAAGATGTTTTATTTCTTGAGAACTCCTCGTTTATGCTGATGACACAGTTCCCCTTTACTTTCACAATGAGGAGTGCATTTCCGGTTTAAGCTTATAAGAAATACTTTAGGCCCAAAACTTACCATGAATGATTTTTGTTGAGGAAGACACCACCATATTGCGGCTCCAAGATTTTTTCTTCTCCACCTCACTCCATATCGCAAATCTCGATTAATTAAAATGCCACCTAATTGTCCAAATTAATTATTTCTTGCACATTTTGATTCGCGTCAAGTGTTAATTGGTAGAAGGAGGTTTATTTACTAAACTAGGCTTCATTTTTAACTCCGATTAGCATCGGCAGCATATGTCAGTTGTTGTTGCTGCTGTTGGTGGTGGTGCTAGGATTGGATCCATTTCTGCCAACTTTTTTTTCTACAAACACATAATAATGCCTTCCAGGTCAAACTGACCCACTAAATTCACGTTTATCTCTCGGTTTTAAGAGAAGATTGCCCTTTTTGGATCATTCTTCAAGAACAGCTAACGCACCGGCTCAAAATGAAGAGCGACACCCACTTGACTTGAGACCCACCCCAAAGCTATAACTTAGACTAAGAAGTGCCTAACCCTTACCGAAGACTTAATTTGCTCCCAAAAATCCTCAGCCTCTCACCCTACCTAAACCATACAACCGTACTCGCTGGACGCATTGTCAAGCCTACTTTTGCACAAACCAATTGTTATGGTCCGTTCTGCATAATTTAAAGCCCTCACATAATTCAAGTCTGCAAAAACAACCCAAAAAAACTACAGCCAATCGAGCTGTCTTAATAGGTGAACAGAATATTTTGGCAAACTCCGTAGTCGCATAAATTCCCCCCAGCCTTTGATCACCGATTCTCACTTGTGCGGACAAGCGGTTCAGACTACCCTGGCATATTTACAACTTTCACTGCCAAATTGGTACTACGGAAAGGTGCTCCATACTTTTATGACCTTACTTATTCATGCGTCCAAGCAGCAAAACACTTTTCGGGCCTAATTATGAAGGATTTCAATCGACGAACACGGACTAAGTCATTTAAGTAGTACATTCCTTCATGTTCTCAGATTGAGGTTGCATGTAGGATTTAGCTAAATAATTTGGGGTAAAAAAGTAATTACGATTAGACTATAGCTTTTCTTTCATATTTATCGAAATTTTAGGTCCACATTACTTGGAGAAAATATACTACTTAAATAATTTAATCCGTTTTTGTCGGTTAAAGCCTTTCGCGTTGTCTTTTAGAGAGATAGCGGGAGCGATTCGGTGCACATACACAGACAAAGTTGATTAATGCGTACGTGGTTGCTGTCTGGCTTGTGGAAGTACTTTAATCGTCTAGCCATACATCAAGCCTTCACAGCCTGAGCTGCCTCAGCAGACTGGCGGATTTGAGGGCACGTCTTAACCCTAAAATCCACAATCTCAGTAAAGAGTAATCGCTACGCCAACATCTCTGTCAATGTCTCCTCTCACTAGTGGTGAAGTGCTCCCGAAAATTGCTTAAACCGCCTTTAATGTCGTTGCAGAGCATGCCTACTTCCTAATGGTAGTTTCGCATTTTTTTGTTATTTTAATAGTTTTATTTGGATTGACAGACTCTGCATTTAATGGTTCTTCGTTGTGACAATCAGTGCTTTTATTTCCTCCCTGCTCCCACTACACAAAGAGTCACCATTCCTAGGCAACTTTACCTCAGAGAAGCTACTAAATTTGGTCATATTCTTCTAAATGAAAAGGACTTTAAATAAAACACGATGCAAAATGAAAAAAAAACTTTAGCAATAATGCAAATAAAATATCTTTACTAGATGGACGCTGAAGGAGTCATCAGTAATGCTCTCCGGTAAAGCTATTCCAAACCGAGGAGGTACCACTGAAACGGAAGAGGAGGAGGAGGAGGCGAGTGAGGCAAAAGATGGCCTCTCTCGGCTGCGATTGGGACCGCGTGAACGCGAAATTAGCACCGCTGCATTCCTTGACCTCCATATGACCGCTGAGTTGCATCGACAGCTTCTCCGCTGCTATACTAGCCCTGTAACAGCCACCGCTGGCGTATTCATGGACTCACCTACGTGGAAACATACCTCACTTCTCCTCTCCGTCAGCTGTGAGTTCAGTCTACTTAATCGAATATCAGCGGCGTGCCAAACGTAGTACCCGTAGATAAAGGTAGTCTCACACATACAATGAGCAGCCTGTGTGTTCAGTTTACGGAGGATACCGGGAGTCGCTCTTTTCCCACTTTATTGTGCCTTTATGTCAGGAGTAAGTAATCTCAATTAATTGGAATGCAACCCACTAGGATCACGAATTTCCTCCCCATTAGTGGCTGAAACATAACGAATTCTTTCCGCCTTTTTTGTTTTCTAAATCACCGAAAAATTCGCTTCGTTGACAAATTTGAAAGAATATCCGATCGACTAAGAATAAACAGTCTTCCGTATTTAATCCTTTGCCCTAATGAGCCATAATTAAGACACAAAATTAGGCTAAATCGGCCGACTAATTGCAGCGGGAGCTTTTTTTCCTGACACTGGAGTTATTTCCTTAAGCTGCTACGAGAAAATTTTCTCTCTAAAGTACTCTGAGGGAGGAGAAAATTGGGCAGCAAAGTGGAGACCGGTTGGCAGGAGGCCAAAGAAACTAGCTAATTAAATAGGTGATTAAAATAAATGGCATTCAATCATACCGATTTCCTCACTAATTGTCGTCCCTAACACTGCCCGTAGTTGTCCTCAGAGGTACTCTCCTGATCATGAAGCGTTTAAACTGGATTTCGGTCTTTGCTAGTCACCCTGTAGGTGACGCGACTCCAGAAGCTGCCAAAAGTTGATGCAGTTTTGACCACCCCCTGCCATTTTGCCTCTTTCCTGATTCAAGAATCGACAATAGAAGCCCTCTCGTTATGACGTTTTAGTGCGGTGAAATAGGGAATTTGCTTTATAGCAACCATAAAGGTGAACTGGTTGAACCAGAGACTTGGTGGGATGTGAGGCGAGCGTCATGCCACCCTCGCATAAGCACGGACCCACTGGCGTCAGGAAAGTCCGGCGTGAACGTAAAATAAACTCACTGCCCTACTTTATTTCCACTTCCTCGCTAGTGCATTCTTAGAATGCGTAGCTAGACGTTGTCAACTGTACTTATTATCCCTCTCCTTGATTGCCCTCCAAAAGTGCCATGCTAGTCGTCCTTGTTTGGTCACACCCATTAAACTCTGCTTTGTAAAATACGATCAAATAGTTTGTGCGATTATCAGTACCACAGGGAAGCTTGAAAAATCCCTTTTCTTCCTCTATTCTTTATATTTTATGGATCTTTCAAAAATCTTTCCATTTAACAGTAGTTCCTTTTGGCAATTCAAAACTGAATAATTAAGTAGTAAATAGCGCAATTACTTTTCCCTTTCTATCACCTATATTCATAAAATCAGAAGTTTTTCACCAAAAATTCTCCCCTTTTTATGATTTTCTTATTTAAATATACAGGAATGTCAATTAATTCCCTGCCTACTGTTGGCTAGGTTTGAAGACACATCGTTGACCTCAAAATCAGTAGTTGGACAATTCATGAGCCCGAGGTCGGCAGCTAGCGAAGATAGGGATCGAAGTAATAGAGCTTCGCACATTTCAGCAAAAGTCAGAACAGGACAGAAAACGAAAAAAAGGGATTGCATGCCTCCCCCCACTTCGACCTATGTATTTCAGACCGCACGCAAGTGCCAAAAGGGGCTTTTTTGCATTGAATTCTGGCAAAAAGGGCATGTTTTGTCTCTTGTTTGAAAAAAGGGTGGTTTAAATGGTGTTTTGTGTTTGGCTGTTCCATCGTAAACAAAAGGCGCTGTTGATGATTTCTGCACTGAATACGGTACCCACCGTTTCGCCCTTTTATTGCTTTTCCATTGTTTGTAAATTTGACCAGTGATTTATTCTTTTGAAAAATACAATTTTGGCCATAAAGTCCTCCTCAAAGGAGGAATAAGAGGCTCGTTCATGCAAAAGTGGGACTTTTAGAGATTTTAGGGGTAAAAGGTATATAGCTTTCTTAAATTCCTATTCACAAATTTTGTTTGACTGTTAACTGAATCAGCAACTTGGCCTGGAAAGACTTGTCAGGGCTGTCAAATTATCCTTGACAAACCTGCTTCTGTATCAGTGAAAAACGGAAGGCTATCATGGCACCAAACAAGCGCTGACTTTTCGCAATTTTGCATGTTAATGAGCGTTTGATTGTATTTGTCATTGCTACAGAAAGATTTGTCTCCTGAGCTGTTTCAAGCGAAGTTATACGTCCATCAGACTTTTGCCTCGCCGAATGTTCAGTCACGGGTGTGACATAGGACCCAATCCACCACGTACGAGGATCATGATATTCTTTTCAGTTCATACCCCACTGCTTTTGAAGTCTTTTTAGGAATGGATGCTAGTTTTTGCTCGCAAGAGACTTTGCTACATCGCCATGAGCAGTTCACAGCCACCTTGATGAAGGGTGTCTGGACTGGACCGGAAGGAGTTTATGATACGCCAGCCGACGATAATGCAATACCTTTGACACTTATAATAGACTAGTCCGCATACCAATTACCGATAGGAGTACTTTTCGTTTTAAAGATGTTTAAAGCTGTTTGATGTTACTAGAAAAAGTGGGCAGCGTTGTCGGCGCTAACAAGAACGCCAAATTTCCACAATTTTTCCATCTCAGATTTGGATTAAGCTATTTACAACAGCCTTCTTGCCCCGCACCGGTTGATCTGTATTAATGCCAACCTTTAAATGCAAGCTTGACCATTTTTCCCTTTTTACAGACTAAAATGTCAAAAAATCCTTGTTTCGTATGTACAACTAACAACGTTGAGCTACTTATAAAGCATGTAAGTAGCTTGGTACTGACGGATAAAAATGTCCTGTTCCCAACATCCGCTGCACCCTCCAGATTTTTCAGGCAGCAGCCCAGGCAGATGATAACGTAGAGGGTAATAGAGGCGACCAGGAATAGACTGTTAGCTTCTAGCAACCGAAGCCTACTTGAAAGTGCAATTTGAACCTATTTAAATACGTTACGAGGCTTGTGTGGACCTTGCCAGTCAGGAGACCAGCAGTATAGTTGACTCCTTTCCAACTTCTCCAAAATCACTGTATTTGTTGTTACTTAAAAATTTCCCATCATTTGAAGTCCCGGTAAAATATTTCCGTCTCCGATGGCTATCCATGGATAATTTCAACCATTACCATTTGAACATGACCTTTAAAAGAGAAGTCACTAAAACTAGACCTTAATAAATTCGTGCGCTGTCAGTTAGTGGTGGCTAGGTCTGACTTTTTTTCTCACCTCCATGACAAATTTATCTTTGCTCCGCTTTATTTACGTCCTGATACTATCATCAGTGATAAACGGGACAGCAACACGCAAAAAGGTGTGGAGAGGATTAGCGTGATTTAGTAAATTAAATATAAGTTTAAGTCGTTATTTTTCTCTGTTTTTGACATGGAAAACGCCTTTTTTCCATAAATATCATAGCTCACTTTATTGCGAGTTTTTGCTTCTGTCTCTACGGGCTGAAATGAGTGGGTTCGGGGATGAGGTTTGAGCTCGGAAAAAGTGGTGAGGCCTTTGTACACATGAGGAGAGGCAACGTATTGTCCGAAAATAGTAGAACATTGACGAAAAGTTTTCCCTGTATAACTAAAAATTCAACAATCACTGCTGACAATAAAATTATTCCATATTATGCATTATTTTGCGCACCATTTTCTCGTTCGTAAATTCGTGGAGCTAAGGTGATTGCCAGTGCTGGTAAGCGTTTCAACTATTCTGAAGTCGGCTTCTAGGTTGCAGTAGAGGAGGAGAAATGGATGGCTAGAATCATGAATATCATGGTTAGAGTCATGTGGCACCGGTAGATGAAATGCCTTGCATTGTGCCCTCATTTCGGGTATCCCTGTTCTGGTCTTTGCAAGGACGATTAACCAGACAGTAGTCAACAGGGGAAGGGGCGGTGAGGCTATACTAATCCAAAAATCTTGATAAAGTACTTTTTTGTGCCATTTTCAGAGCTAGTCTATTCTTCGCACAGAATGGAATCCACAATGTACGTACTTTTCGTGGAGGCCCAACCAACCTGATGCAAAATTAGAGGCGACTTTCTTAGTGACACCTAGCTGCTACCCACCTGCTCACATGGTTCTTCGTCAACTTGATGTTTTTTTTACAGGGCTTGTCTTTTATCTCACATTTCGCTCTTACGTTTTTGTGAGGAGGAAGGGAAGATGCTGAAAAACTTGAGGCTAATCCCCTTCATACAAGACCTGGAGGTAAAGAATAAGAGTAAGATAATACATTGTCATGGGCAAGGCTTCTCGTACCATCAACCGGTGTACAACCGAAACGCGGGCTCCCAGACGTGTTAAGGCACAGTGACAGTCCCAGTATCCCGAATTTACATCACTTTGAGTGCCCTTGAACTTGCTGTGGATATTGGCTCAACCATCGCCAGTCAGAAGAAAATGACGGAGAGGAGACCACCTGTAATATGTTTCGAGAACTTTTTTGGAAATGAATTTGTAAAACATGAAAGAGGAATGGCTTTTTCTGGAGTTACAGATGTCTCCATCAGATGGCTTTTAAAACTCACCGCGCCTCTCAAATTTGTGCTATAACCCTAGAAATTTAGCAGTTGAATGGTAAAGAGTCGGGAAATACTTCCATATTTTTTGGTAAAGGATATAAGACAGTACCAGCATCGATGCAGAATAGGCTAGAGGGCATGCTGGTGTAGATGTAGCTTCTCCAAGAAATTGCAATAAGACAGGAGGTCTTCCAGAGGAGTTCACCTAATCGTTGTGGTGGTTGAATAGTAAATATAACCAAAACCAAACATCAATCTTTGTTTCAACTTTTAACTTGGAGCTGTATAATAAATTTAATAAATTAATAAATTTTAACTCAAGTTCTCGCTCCAGTACACGCGTTTTCAAGTCTGAGGCCATAAACCTACTATTAACTTCACCATTCACGATTTAACTGACTGATATTTCACTAACATTTGCCTTTCTTTTGCAGCAAAATCTACCGTTGTACAAATCACTAACAGCTTAAAGATAGTGCAGTTAGTTTGAGAAGCAAAACTTAGGATTCGTTCCGTTTAAAGGAATCGCAAATCCCATGCCAGGTCCCCCAAACATCATTTAGCTGCATGCAAGAGAAACCTTTTTAAAAAATCTAACTACCTTTGGATCACAGCTAAACTGCAAGCATTAAAGTCTGCAAATATTATTCTTTAGTTTTGCTCATTCCTCTAGTGATAACATCACCTAAATTAAACAAAAGCAAGAAAGTGGAAAAGTTCACAACTATTTTAAACATTCATTTACCCTTTTTCACTACATTAATTTTCCTTAAAAATAAGAAATTAAAAGTTATATTTGGTGGCCTGTCGAATTTTACAAATGAAATAGGTTTCGGGGGTATTTTGAACAGGTCGTAGTCTCCAACACTTTTACCATCGATTCAAATTTATTTTGGACTTCTGCTAGAAAACCTCATTTTTAGGTAGCATAAATGGAAATGAGATTAAGTTAAACGAGTTATTGACCCTTTTCTCCTTACTTACCAGTAGAGTTTTCAAAAATGTCATTACTTTATATACTCTATCAACAGTACCGAGCTACTTATAGGACCATATGAGTAGTATGTGTTGCGAGCCAATTTTCATCTTGATAAAGAGTTTTCCTAGTCCAGTTTGGATTTTGTAGCTGGCTAGTTTGAAATAATAAATCCTTCTGATTTCTTTTGGACAAGTTAAATGAATTCGGTTATTAATTATTCTCTAACAAAACACGAGACAAATAGGACTGTAGTTTAGACTAAGAATTTGGGTAACTTTGTCAAATTTCTATACGACTGGTGCGGGTTCTGCTAAAATTTTTACTAATTGTTCTCAACAGAGGAGATAAGTCAACTTTACAGGGAGGAGGGCATTTCGTTTATAAGCTGCCATCTTTGGACATCTTCTTTAATGCTTCCAACTATCACACACCTGCACTGTCTGTCGTGGTCAGAACTGGGGACATCGTAATCCCACAAGAAAAATAATTGCCACAGCAGCAAAAAGTTTGATCGTGGCCAAATTATCGGTCCTCCAGTTCCTCTCAGACGCATTAATCAAGAAGAAGAAGAAGTTATCAAGAGGCACATTTCCTTGATTTTGATGGATGACGTTGATTGCCTTTTCACGACCTACAAAAGTAAATTACTGGTACATACACCCTTCCTTTCTCTTTCAGACGGACCAAAACTGCAGGGACCGGAGGAAGAGGTGGAGGCGGTGACTACCGGCCAGTCCGCTCAATTGACCTGTCAGGTTGAAGCGAATCCTCCAGCAAAAGTCACTTGGTACCACTATAGGGGCATAAAGGTTGTCAACAAAGCCGCCTTGGGCTCTCATCCGAATGCATCGGGGCTATTTACTGCTACTGTGATCACACATCGACTGCTACGGTCGTTCCTTACCACGGACTTGGACTCAAGAGACTTTAGAGTGAGTTGCTGAAATGAAAATTCAGCCAGTAAAGTGGTCAGTTAGTGGCTGTCGCTGATGTTAATGTTAGTAGTAGATCTGTCCACATTGCTAGCCTACCTTGCTGAGAAATTTGTTACCACCTAAAAGGAAAATCTTTGCTCAGATACACCGGAGGTTGTTGGTATGATTGGTCTACTAAAGTATGATATCAGCTTGGTCGGTTAAACAGACCCTGACATTCTTATAAGTAGCATAAGCACTGATTATTATTTTATTGTTAGAAGTTAATTTAAAGTATTGGGATAGTAGGCGATTTGATGATAAGTGCAGTAGGATGACTTGGATTCACTGGATTATATTTGCTAATGAGTGGGACGCTGATATACAAATCAGTAGCTCAGTTCAAAAATATTTCCATACATATACGGACGCTGATATGATTAAGAGTAGTGTATCAATTCGTTAACGCCTTCTAATAAACAGGGGAATAATAGGATAAGTAAGGTTAGAATATTTCTATATAAATAGAGGAGCTGTAAAAGCTTTTCATTTAATCTGTTGAATTGCAGTTAAAGATAGTAGAACGATGGAGCAATGTACCACCCAGGAGGGGTCAAAATAAACATTCGCTCCTGATCTTGAGAGCAGGTGCTGCATAATAGTTAGGAAGAGCCCCTATTTTTGATTGAAATGAAAAATTGACTGCTCTAACTGACAGCGATTATTGTTTCCATACGGCCCACAACTTACTTACCACTAAATTGTGCTTGCTTCGTGTGCATGTGTGTGGCGGACTATCGGTGCAATTAATCACTACAAATTGCAAGCTGAAGGCTAAAAGATTACCGACGAATTGCCTACATCAGTGCATGTGCGAGGATTCTTCCTGCTTCCTTTTGGAATCTGTGTGGACTGATCTAGACTGGTCTTACACCTCCGCAAATCTGACCCATGAGAAGGCCTCTACTTGATGATAGAAGTAATAATGTTATCATCTGAAGTGAAGTATTTCTTAATCCTCCGGATGATGAATTTCCCTTTCTTTTCGCAATGAGAAGTTAGAAAGTAAGAATTAGAAGGAAGCTGAGGTGGCTGAAAACAGGTTATCACAAGTCCCAGTCAGGTTCTTTCTCTTCGGCCAAGCCCTCGACAGCTTAAAAGCCATTTTTGGGTTCAAAATCAACTTCTTAACTGAAACTTTAAAGCTCTCAAAGTAGGTGATGCGGCTCCCAAAAGGGTCAGCCACTGAAAGCGCAGGGGTAACTGTGGCTTGCTGGTTGGGCTTCCTTTCCTTAAGAACTTCAGAGTCAAAGCTAGGTTTGACCAAGAGTGCCGGAGGCGCCGCCAGTGCTCTTGAGAGAGCTGTCTTAACCCCGACTTTTGTTCCACAATTGGCCTCAATCTTTGCTTTTCTGACCTGTTAAACCTCTAAAATTACAACTTTGGCTAACTTACTACACCTAAATAAAGTGATAAATAATCCGCTTTAGTGTATTGAAATCACGTAGACTTGTCACTGAAATTGATGGCACCTCAGTCTAATACCAAATGATCTGTTTAGTTTTGGTGGAAGATTGGATTAAATCAGGAAAGATGGCTGAAAAGTACAGCTACCGCATCTGAGACAATAAAATTAGGCCCAAGTTATTTGTTTACTTTTCTCAATAGCCTCTTGGATTCAAAAAGATGGCCACTTAGGTGAGGCACACATTTATAAATGTAATAAGCTTAACTGGGATCCACTGAGAGGGGAATGTAGGAAAGGGGGGGGTGAGCAGCGTCCGAAGGATGGCTGGCAGGTGGGCGAGATCGTTAGAGGTGGTGGTTGAACTCGTGGCCAGGTTCAAGGCGGTGCACTTATCTGATGGAAGACGGGCATCACCTCCACCACTGCTTTCGCCTCTATGGCACTGCTGGCACCACTGCCGTCGTTTTTGGCAAAGTTGCTATCGCCCTGCAGATGTCCCTTCCCCTTCTCCTTCACCTCCTCCTTTGACTTCTTATCCTCCTTCTCCATCTTTTCCTTCTTCTCTTTCTTCTTTCTCACCTTCATCACATCCAAAATCATTGATACGATGGTAAAAACGCTTAATTGGTTATGGAGAGGGAGAGAAAGAGGAGAAAACGCACACACATCCAGCGGCACTGACAGTCGTGGTGATGTGCAAGTGTTGCTTATTTCCGATAGAGTAGTCCTAGCGTGTGCTTTGACACCGACATTGATCAAGGAGAGGCACATCAGCAGACCTGCAAATGTGCTTTGAGAGACATGATGACTTGTGTAGACTGGTGTGAAGGGAACGAGTAACTGAGGGAACACAAGCTGAGCCTCAGGAGACGGCATTCAAAATACCGCAATGTTGGATTGTCTCAGGGTATTTTACCATGGAATCATGCAATCCAAATTTAATGGTGAGGCCGATGAAGGTTGGAGTTGAGTTGGGGGAAGAATCCTGTCATTCTTAAAACGTAATTTTGTGTTTTGTACACTTGATTGATCGTGACGTGCTGATGATGTGTTGCACCGTCTGGAGGATGTGCAATAATTCCCTTTCACCTCGAGTAGTATGTAGAGCTGAACAAACTCCCAACCTCTCGAGTATTTCAGCATGACTTCGTGTCATTTGTAAGTGAAATTCTCCTTAGCTGTGGAAAAAGTGACAGTAAAATGCCTCCCTGTTTTCATCTCCACCCTGTTCTCAAACACAAGAGTAGCTTCGCTGCAGACAAATCAAACAAAGAGTCAATGAATTTCGACTTTACCTTTTTCCCACTAAAAGTAAATGCTAGAAGTTTTAACTTTACACCCGTCATCGCGCCATCACTTCCAGAGTAGCTCAGTCAGTAGGATAGGTACGAGGGAGTGCTTTCGAATCCCGACGAGGTGAATTCGCTCAAATTCAAGGGAATGCATTTATCTGATGGAAGTCAGTCGCCTCCCCATCTCTGCTGCTGGCAGGGTTGCTATCACCGCTCCGTTGTCTTTCTTTCTACCATCTTCGAGCCCACCCCCTTATCCTGTCCCTCCTTCCTTCCTTCTTGCCACCTTTCATCTCCACGACCATCTGCTCGGTAGGGGTTAAGAAATTTCCTGCAAACTGTTCAAACATTGGGAATTAGAGAATAATATTTTATTTGAAGAGGACTAACTGGTGACCCTGGGATAAATTTGTTCCTAGAAAGGGCAACTAGCGCTGCCTAAACGCCAAATTGCTAGAGAATTTAGGATCCCTTATTCGAGTTATGAGGTGTAGGTGAATGACTATGCAGTAGAAAGCTTTCTGCTACCTTCAGTCCCTTATTTTCTAGATTTTTTTCATCTTATAATACGTTATCATTACCAGATAAATACCATTTGAGATTCTCTCCTTCACAAGTTCATGCTGCTCGGTGTTAAACGCAAGCGAAGAAGGAAGTCATTTACAATTTATTAACGGGCGACTTCGGTAGTATACAACCAAGACCAAGAATTTGTTCTTCACCTCTTTAAGGTGCAGTTTTGCCTACTTACTGACCAAGGCTGTCGGGTGAGCAAAAATACTCCATGAGATATCCTCTAAAGATATCTTAAATACTTATGAAGCTTCCTGAGACTACCCTAAAGACAAAAGGAGGCATAATACTCGGGCAGAAAATGCATTGTCGACTACCGATTGGAGCTTGGGGCTACTGGCGTGGCCCGGACAATAGGCGGCCCAGTGGAGGTGCAATGGCCTAGCACCTAAGTGGCTTGTTACCCAGAATTGAAAGTTCAGCAAACAATTGATGTGTTGCATTTGTATCATCACTGCTCGTTTTATGCGTGGAATTATAATGAATTGTAAACTGAGGTTATTCTTTATGAAAACCACCTTAAGAGGTAAACAGTCACGTCCCACACTTACCTTATGCGATAAAACTTAAAAGTGTGTGGGAAGGAAGTCTGCTGGAAACACCTGGAACTGGTCAGTGAGATGGAAGAAAGTCCTCTTCCCATTTTGACAAGACAATATAGTGCCTCACATTTCCTAGGTCAAAATCTGGTCGCTGGAAGATTAGCACGTGAGGATGCGAAGGAAGCAAGGGAAGAAGGGGAGGAAGGAACAAAAATATTCTTTTTGTCTTCCTCTTGCATCCTCAATATTACTTGGCCTACAGGACAAATAGGTAATAGAGTGGACAGCAGTAGAGGTGATTGGAGCTAGATAGTTCTCTTCCAGTGACGGAACCCTGCATAAAAGTGAGGTGTGCAGATAAAATTGTCTCTTGCCTAGCCGAGACGCATAAACGATGGCAGTGCGGTCCTCCTTAGTTATTCCGTTTTTACTAGCAAAAACCGGACGAATTTGTTTTACAGTTTCCCTATAAAAGTGGCAGTTGTTCGAAACACACAGTGGGAATAGTTACAAATCAAACAAAATATTTTTAAGACCAGTGGAGAAGAGCCTTGTGTAGGGGGAAAACATAGGCTTTTATTCTTGATTCACAACTGTGAACATCAAGTCAAATTTTGATGTTCCTTCGCAGTTCAGTGAATGTAGTCAAAGAGAATCAGCACATCTGAGAGTTACAAAAGAATTAGCCTTTCTTATACCTGTTTAGCAGTTAACAAAATTATTTTTGCCTAAGGTCATTTTTTTTCCACCTTACCAAGAAACTCATATCGGAGGAGCGCTACTCCGCGTTGAATGTGAAGGCTCACTCCATCGACAGTTTCGGTTTCTACATTTGTGTCGGTCTGGCGGCACAGAGGGAGGTTAGGAAGATTGTCGTCTTGGCAGAGTCCGGTCAGTGCCTGTAGTCCCATTATTTAGCCACCTTTTTACCGCATCAGAAATCCTTTCCCTTCTTAGGAAATTTTGGCTAGCCAGTCATAAATAAACTGACTTGTCTATTTCAGTCCCGCGTAAGGAAGCGGGTATCGGCAAATTTAATAACTAAAGCAATACATGCATTTTTTCCAAATTTTTTGATTAAGGTTATTTTTCATTAAGCATTTTTTGAAGGATTCGCCTTAATGCTCATTTATCATCCTCCATAATTTTGATTGGCTAATTTAAAAGTGTTGGACGAAGTGAACATTTAGGTCAGTGACGCACAAGTTAAATTAACCAATAAAAGTTGGATTGGACGATTTTGGAGCAAATGATACAATCGCATCATGATTAACAACCAAAACCCAATTGTTAAACCACTCTATTAACCTTCGAAAGCAGAGAACCACATTTACTATAAATAGAGATATTAAAGAGGGAGATAAACGATCAGCGTAAGCTCGTTTAACGCTTCCTCATATTTAAGCTAAAGTTAGCTACATATTAATTCTACTACTTTATATTCTTTTCTACCCAACTCAGTGAAGATTTGTTCTAAAGTTGTGTCTCAGAAATATGAACAAGGCTACTGTATTACCGACTCGAGTTCCATTTGTGGAACAGTAGTAAATGAAAATGTTTTCTGGCATAATAAACATAGGCAGCATGCTAGATGATTGCCGGTATCATACCTCTTTGAAGATGAAGAATATGGAAAATGGATTTTCGACATGCAGAAGGGCCGGGAGCTACTGGCCTGGGCCGGAAGTCAGACGGCCAGGCGGTGGTACAATAGCGGAGCCCCCAAGTGGCCCATTACTAAAACCGAGTGTTTAACAGACAACCAAAGTGTTGCCATAGTTTAGTCCCAAAAAATAAAGATACAGCTTGTCTCTAGAAAAGAATATTTTTTCCAAGTTATTTCCTTGCCTCTAATATGGTTGTAAAATGAGTAACACGGTTTCATCCAATCTTCGGATTAAGTGAGGAGTAAAATGGTACTTGATGTTTTGTCCTTTTGGGATGGACATTTAAACCAACTTTTGAAACTTGCCATTTTTAATTTTACCCAAGGCCCACCACAAATTGACACACCGACACGGGTTAGCGGACGCGTGGGTGGGAGGGGCCGAATCGCGTGCCACACCATCGCTCTGCCCAAACCGACGCCGCATGAATTCTTCTGGACCCACGCCTCCACCCATGCAAGCGTTGTTCCCTCTTCAAGGTGGGTATTTTTCCTCATCTTATTTTTTCCATCCTTCTTTCTTTCTTGATGCAGGTACTTTTTCTTAGCCTTCTCATTGTTTCTTGCCACGACGATTTTGGTGCAGTTTGACATGTTTTTCTTCCATCTATTTGTAATTCCTTTTTTTTCCTGAATTGGTGGACATGGGCAGGGCGTTGACGTCAAAACCTAGCTTTGAGGTTTACAAAGGATTGCAAGGAATGAAAAATACAGTTTTTTTTTCGACCTGGCCTACTTCTACGCTTAGTCCCATTTTTTAGCTTATCCCTTGAGGACGTCTACGTTGAAGGATTTAAGGACTAGTGACTTATTGTGCCAGTAGTGATGAAGCAGTCACCTTTGATATGCTCTTATGCAAACCTTAGCAAGTAGGAGTCACTTTATTGCAGATGAACCTAAAGCACTACCAACTAACACCGTATGACTCCCCAACTGCGGGTGAGTGAGTGAAGTCTTCGGCAATTGCCGGCGAATTTCCTACTTTCATTTAAGGCAAACATCTTCCATCACCAGCTGCTGTTTTATGCATCACCGCTGCCAAGTGCAGGGAATTATGACTTATAGACTGGTCCGTAACATTTGTACTAGCTACCGGCACCCGTAAAATGACCCTCTTGGTAATGGTCCTTGGTAAGGGTCCTCCATTCGATCATGGCAGCAATCCTTGTCTTTGAAGAATATATTATTTGGACATTCTGTTTTACTGGTCTGGAGAGTAAAACATGAATCTCAATGGAAAATCATCCATCGGAACAACTTTTTGCCCTCCACTCTCTAAAATGAAGCAATTAAAAGTTATTTAAGTGCTTTTGAGTGATATATGCGGTAGAATTTTGGTGTCTTCTGGTTATACCATCCCTGTGACTTATCCTCCTTGCCCATAGAGCGACAAGGCAGCTACCAATCCCATTTATGCAAAAAAGTTTGGCCTTTGGGAGCAGGCAGTCAAGTACAGTACCTCTTATCTTGATCTGGATTTCATTTTTTTTAACCGCGGGAGAATGTGGGTGTCTGATGGCAAGAGGAGGTTTAAGTCACTTGAAGTCTGGAAGAAGGAAATGGGGATGGGACAATATCCCTCCCTCTTCCTCCTCCTTTCCCATTCTGAATTGCGGTAAGAATCCTTCCTATGGGCAGGTTTGGGGTTATGATGAATAGTGCCCATCACTTCCTTACCATCCTTCTTCCTGCTACCTGTCTAGTTTGATAATTTCTGGATCTCACTCTTAAAAACTTGATCTTTAGCGAGGAGGGTGTAGTCAGTCAGCGGCTTCGTCTGTAGCGCAAAGTAGAGACATTAGCTATGGGATGGAGTGGTGCGCCTCTTGTAGGCATAAGACAAATTGTGAGTATTTGTTTGCACAAGGTACTCCTCCTCATAAGGCAGGAAGAGAAATGTTAACACTTCTTCTACTGAGGTAAAAAATGGATGGGTTCTTAAAGCTTACGGCTTGTTTTATCACTTACCGACTTGCTTTAGTTGGTCAGAAGATGCGACCTACGGTTCTGAAGACTGGGAGGATCTACTCCTGGGTACTTCATCACCGGAGTCAAGCTATGATGCTTCTTTCTGCTATCTACCCCTCAATTTTAAGTGACTTAACACGATCTTGTGTACATCCGGTAAAGACGGTTCGGTAAAAAGGCGGTTTTGTAAAAGGCAGTCCAAAGTCATTTTTTTACCAGAAATGCAAATTAAATGCGGAAGTGTCGCAACTGCTAGAAGAGATAACAAACTCATGGCACTACTTACCGCAAACCCTTTTTACATATGCAGTAAACAAACATGGCGCCTCGTCTTTACCCACTAGTGGCAGCAATGAAAAAGCGGATTTTGTAGCAAATTTTAACAAAATTTTCGGAAACATTAATGACGTCCAACGCGTGGAACCGGTTACACATTAAAAATTGTAGTGAAAAGATTTGATGCTTGATAGCCTCTAGTCTCAGCACATTCATATACGCACTCGCACCCATTAAAGGTTGGAGACTGAATAAATGCTTTTATGCCGCCCATTCACCCAGCATAAAGAACAAAATCCATAGAGTGGGAATTCAACTATTTGTAAATTTGGGGTGAAAATTTGTGAAGTGTGACTTTTACTTGCAGGCGTTGGGTTAACCCCGACTTTTCCCAGAGTGAGTTCGTCCTAGGTGTGTATAGATATGGAATGGATTCAAGGAATTCGCAAGAGGAGACCTGTGTTTGTTGGGGCTCAAGAATCTGTGGAAATATTTTTATTTTAATTCTGTTAGCTGTGTTAACAAATTCTGACATTTTCGCCTCGTTTATTAGGAACCGCAAAACGCTTACAAACATTGTCTACTTATCTGACTTAATTAAGTAGCACATCCGGTAGCTAAGACACGCAGAAAAAATAGCTCCCATTAATGGCTTCTAACTAAAAAAATTATTAATATTCCTTGTGCTTTTTTAAAAGTTAACGTTGTGCTTATTTTGTGCATTTTTTAAAGTTATCTTCATTTTAAATTTGCTGCTGTCAGTCATTAATGAATCTTTTCCATACTTGACAGACTTTTTCCAATTTCCTCAAAATTAATCACGAGTTTTGTCAAATTTCTACTAAAAAGTGGGTTTACAAGCTTTTATTGGCATTAAAAATGCTCGAAACAATTCAGAAACATTTATTTAAAACATTTGACGTCTGTAGGAAAACAATCCAATCTGTATCTCTGTGTCGCAATTTCTAGTTCTTAACGACAGGTCTATTAAAACTTCTAGGTGAATTTTTACACAAGTTGCTGGGAGATGTCAAACTGTCTTACCAATCTCTACCTCATAGCTATTTGTCCTTCATTCGTACCTGCTTTAGCCGATAAAGCGGACTTTCTCTTGAAGGCTTCCTTTAAAGTTAGACTTATTTGCCTTCTAGTTTGCACATTGAACACGAGGAGAAGTTGACCGGATCAACAAGTGCTATAGTCTTTTCAAAAATTGCTAAGGAGCATTTCGGTCACTACAACTGCACCGTCAACACGGCCCATGGAAGCGACTCCATCGTCATCGTATTTACTGAAATCCGTGAGTAGTATTGTGTCTCCACTGAGTAGAATAAAAGTTTACAATGCTAGTGAAACATTATTGTTTTGTCATTTCTACGGTCTCTTTATGTACTGACCCTTTTTTGTCATCTCAACAACAAGATTCAATCAGAACTGTCAATGGTAAAGTGACCTAGTAGGAAAATCACATGATACATTGGGGGCAGCAAAAAGTCGCCTTCTTTGTAAACCAAAACTCGTTTCCTGTTTTTCTTCTCTCTTTCCATTTCTCATCAGTACTTATTTCGTGGTTTGCTTTTTACATATTAGAGGGAGCATGGAGCTCAACAAAATTGAAATGCAGTTCCTACTTAAAGATCAAAATTAGAAAAAAAAACTTTCCAATTATCACTTAAAAGTTTGAGTAAAAATTAGTTTAAAATGTAATATGAGCGAATGAGAGGCAGTTTACTTAAGCTAGGACTCCTGAAGTGTCTAGAATATAGGAAATAGTACCTGATACTTGAAAGGCAGATTCCACACAAGGAGTTTTGTCAATGTGGAAGAAATATTGCAAGAAAGCTCGCTTCCTTTTGTCACTGGTGTTAAAACGTTAAGTCTCGAGGTATAATCTTAGAAGATGTGCATGCAGTGGGATTTATTTTTTAAGCAGAATGTTGTGACACTTACTACTCAGGTAGCTGTGATTGTTATAAGCAGTAAAAGCCGAACAAATATTTAGACATATCAGTTACTTGTTTAGCAATATTATAAGCAATTAAAAGGGCCGATGCCTTGCTTGTGACCGAAAAGTAGTGTGGGAAATCAACCTGGTGCCCAGCATGTGGTAACTTTCTAACGTAAAAATGATTTATGCCTTATTGCGGTATCTGATTCCTCGACACTTTATCCACTGAAGTAAGGCAGCATCAAGTGTCGTGCTATAGAAATTGAACCCCTAAGACCCCAAGAGTCATTAAGACGTCTACAGTAAATATCTCAATGCTGAGCTGCTGAGCTTAAAGTCTCCAGTAGGGAAAAGATGTAGGC